CTCTCACCCCACTTACATCACAGGGTGTCTGTTGTGGGGAGGTGAAGGGAAAGGAGTTTGTAAGCCGCTCTGAGACACCTTTGGGTAGTGAAGGGCGGGGTATAAATCCAATCTCTTCGTCATATGTTAGGCCATTGATTTGTTGGGCCATTTGCAAGCCTTATTTAGTAAATACAAATCCACTGAATCCATCAGCCATGCTCTATGACCTTTTCTGGAGGAAGAAGATGGATGTTATACTGTGTTTACAGTTGCAGAAGCCACTACAGAAATCCCTTAGACTCACTACCATATTCTTAGCTGGATACCACAGGGATAGTTTTCAGAGCTACAAGAAAATGCAGAGAGTGATCTGTTGATGTTGGGGAGGAACATGAAGAGGAAAAGAAGCTTCTTAGATTTTATTTTTCTGTCTTGTTATGGAAGGAATATAAAATATAGTTCAAGGAAGTGCTAGAGCCAGAAACAAAGTACAACAAAGATCCCTCCCCCCACATACAACATTCCCTTGTTGGCTTAACAAATCACACTTTTGAAATGGTGCCCGATTAATATCCTGTTATTCGTATTTTGGTTTATTCTAAGAGGAATACTGCATCTTTAAGGACCCTGCCCTGCTAGATGCACACGGTTGTCTTGGTAGCTGAGGCCACTATCCCTTTCTTCTGCCATTTCTCCCTCTTCTCTTTCTCTCTTATTTCTTCTCTCTTTCATCATCTGTTGCTCTGTCCCCCTCAGTGCTTTTATTCTATATCTGGGTTGTTGCAGCTCTGTAGTTCACATGCATTCGTACTTTAGAAAATGCACATGTCCGCACTGCTGAGTGTATTGTGTTCTGGGATTATTATTATTTTTATTTGAATAACCTCATCTCCCTTCTTTCTTTCCCCGATTGTAAGTGTAATGTCCATTCTCATTGTTAAAATCCTCAGTCCCTTTCAGAGAAAAAAATACAAACCCAGAAAACTACATAGTTTTAATGTGTCCAGGGCTTTTTTTTGTAGAAAAAGCCCAGCAGGAACTCATAAGCATAATAGGCCATACCCAACAGCAGAAACCTATTAGCATATTAGGCCACACCCATGACAGCACAGCTCATTAGCATATTAGGCCACACCCCTGTTTTACCAGAAGTGTGGTCATCCAGCCACACCCACCTTTTGCTTCTTATTCTGTTTACCTTGTTTGTTGTCAAAACCCAGGGCTTTTTGTTTGTAGCAGGAACTCCTTTGCATGTTAGGCCACACACCCCTAATGTAGCCAATCCTAATGAGTTTCTGCTGTTCGGTGTGGCCTATTATGATAATGAGTTCCTGCTGGGTGTGGCCAACTTGGGAGCCAGCCGGAACTCCATTCCTGTGTGTTCCTGCCCAAAAATAGCCCTGAATGTGTCCATATTGACACGGATAGATACAGGGTTGGATCCAGAGGAGGAGTTTGCAGAAGGTATTGGTAGAGCAAATTGGGAGAGCCTCGTAACCAGTAAGGGAAAAGCATCTCTTTCTCATTTCTCCATTGATGCAAACCGCAAATGGAAGAGAAAGAGGCGATTTTACCAGATCCCCATGTGTTGCTGTAGCATCCCATCCTGTTGCTCATTTTGCCTGTCTCCTGATCCTCGGGCATTTCAAGCCGCTTGGGGAAAGCAGGGGGGGAAAGCCACTCCACCAGCTCCTTCCATGAACCCTTCTACTTGGTCCAAACCACAGTTATTTCTGTTTTCTTGTGCTTGTATTATATGCGGACACATTCACGCCCAGCACTGTAGATAATCTACTTGGGAAATCTCTTGGATGAATAGATTTGTAGTGTAACTGAGATTAACATTTGATCTCATATATGTGCGTGTGTGTGTGTATGAGTTAATTCTTTCTCTAAATCCGCAGTATGGAATAGAATTTCATAATGAGGGAAGTGATTGCAAGGAATGTAGTGGGAAGAGGAAAATGCAAAGGGCGTGTGCCTGTTCAGAAAAATGCATATACCATGACCTTCCAGAAATACTTCAGATCTATTTGAAACGATACATAGAGAACTGGCAATGACATCATTTAATGAAACAATTAAGTAGGTCCAAACGTCTTAACAATTAGTGCATGGTAGGCAGGGCTCTTTTTGTAGAAAAAGCCCGGCAGGAACTCATTAGCAGAATAGGCCACACCCAACAGCAGGAACTCATTAGCATATTGGGCCACACCCCTGATAGCACAGCTCATTAGCGCATTAGGCTGCACCCTCATGTTACCAGAAGTGTGGTTATCCAGCCACACCCACCTTTGCTTGTTATTCTGTTTACCTTGTCTGTTGCAAAACCCAGGGCTTTTTTTGTAGCAGGAACTCCTTTGCATGTTGGGCCACACACTCTTAATGTAGCCAATCCTAATGAGTTCTCGTTGTTGGGTGTGGCCTATTATGCTAATGAGTTCCTGCTGGGCGTGGCCAACTTGGGAGCCAGCCGGAACTCCGTTCCTGTGCGTTTCTGCCCAAACATAGCCCTGGTGGTAGGGCAAGGGTTGTAGGTACTAAGGCTGACAGTTCCTGCCTCCTCCCCAGAAGAGGACTTCGGGAGGCATTCCCCAATGTGGTGATGTCACTCAGAAGTGATATCATCACATTGGGGATGCACCTGAATCCCAAGGAGCAAATTCACTGCTTGGAATTCAGGCAACTGCCCCCCCCAAGCATTGAAAGGGATCCTTTAAATGCTTTTGGAGAGCAGGGGCCCATGCATCTGAATCCCAAGTGTCGAATTTGTTGTTTGGAATACAGGTGTGCCACCAGTGACTGCCCCTCTCCCTCCACCCCTGTCAGATTTAAAGGGCCCTCCAGCTGATTGGTGGGCCACGTGCTCCCACCAATCAGCTGAAGGACCCTTTAAATCTGGCAGGAGGGGAGGGAGAGGGGTGGCCATGGGTGACTGCTGTTGGGGGTGGGCCTTGGGGTGGGGCTGGCAGTAGACAGGAGTCCCCTGTCACGATGTGGGGCTAGGCAGGGGCGAGGCAGTCAGGATACAGTCTGAGGTCAGGAGCCAGTCACGCAAGTTAGCCGGAAACCAAGTCCAATACACAAAGCACGAGCGGGGTGGTCAGGGTATAGTCCCAAGTCAAGAGCCAGGCAAGCAAACCAACCAGGAAACCAAGTTCAAAAGCACAAACCATTAGAGGCGTCAGGAAACCAAAGTCCAAAATAGTCAAGAGCCAGGAAGTCAAAAGTTTGGGGTGCAGAGTCAAAGTGTGGTCATTCAAGCCGAGGTCAAGGAGCCGAGGAAATCCAGACAGGAACCAGGAGTTGGGATCACGAGCAAGGAGGTGCAGAGCTTCGTCCGAAGAGACTAGTTGCTGGCACGATTTGTCAGCATGAGAGCGTGGGTTAAATCGCCCATAAGCCTGCTGGCAATTACCGCACCTCAAGCGAGTCCCAGCTCCTACTAATACTCGAGGCTGAAGGAGCACCTGTCACACATGCATGCCTCTCACCACCGGGCTGTCATATCCCGGCGGCACTGCTCTCTCAAATGGGATACCGGTGGAGGCGAATCAGGAGGAGAACTGTCCGGGCATGCTTCTGCCTCAGCTGTTGTTAGGGTAGCCTCTGGAGTCTCAGCCCTGTCAGGTGCGGGAGCCTCCGGCATTGAGAGCTCATCCCAAGCAGCACTTAGATCCTCTGCTGGGGCCGCTTGTTCGCACTCAGCGGGAGCCGCTGGCTCGCAGTCAGCAGGAGCCGTGACATCCCCGAAATTGGGGGATCCCCCACCTGGGGACTGGCATCCCTAGTAGGTACCCACCTGTTAGAAGAGCACAGAGTCGCTTAGACCTGGAGCCTCCTAAAGTACATAGCGTGGTGTGTATGTTGGGGGTGAAAGTATGAATTATCTGCTGAAGTGAACAATGTTTTTTTATGTTCTAATTCATATTATTCAGTTGTGTTTAGGAGGGAAAAGCAAGATATAAATAGTTTAATACAAATATAATTAAATAAAGTCTTAGGATATTTTTTTTTACATCTCCCCTGTGGCACGGTCCCAGTGCTAACCAAACTTTCCTAATGAAGCCCAATGTAGTTTAGAAATGTTAAACTTGACATTTCTGTACCTAAGAATGACTGGTATGTGCCTTTGGACGACTGGTATGTTGAGGGCCTCCTGTGGAAACATAGACAGACTGGTGGATGAGTGGGCTGGGAAAGGAACAAGTAACCTATGTTACCTCCTTGAAAGGTGGTTAGCATTTAATTGAAAGCTTTTTGAAATGATCCCCACAGAAGTTAGGAGGAGGGAGGGTAGGTAGAGCTATAATTTGCCACTATTGTGGCAAATTAAACTAAACACTATTGTGTGTTTATCATAAACAGGCAGTTCACATCTCCTTGCATAATACCTTAGTCTCTTTAATTTATATTTTATGTAATATGATCACTGATTTTAATTTAATCAAATACTCGATTCTGGATCTCATATCGGGAAAGTCTGAAGATCTTAATGGGAGTAGCCATTTAAATAAACGTGAAAGACTTGAATTAATGGAGGGTAGCTTGCAATATGGGGCTCGTGCCTTGGAGGAGTTCTACGTGAGCCTCATTCAGAGGAAGGAGAGTCTTGCAAGGCCACGCATCTCTTTTTGTGCATTTTGGCAGAGTTTCTCACAGGAGAAATTCTCCGTGAGTCGCAGCCTCTGCTTGCAACTTTGTTCGCTGGGCACACCAACCCTCTCGGAAACACTGATCTTAGTTGTTATTGTCCTAGAAACTACAGGTGCACATGTAGGAAAATAAAATTTCCAGATGACCATTGTGCAAAGGCAAGAGAGGGGTACATGAGCAAAACGGGAGAGGGTCCACATCAATGCTCCCTCTAAGCTGTGGAGTCTTGTGAGCAGAAAATCTACTTTGTGAGCGACTGGCATTGAAGTTGTGAGCGAGACATTTGGCTTCTGCATAAATTAGTATGCCCTGGAGCCATCCTTCCTGAGCGAAGACAAAAATGTGTGAGCCGGAGGCTAAAAAACTGTGAGCTAGCTCACACTAACTCAGCTTAGAGGGAACACTGGTCCACATCCTTTTCAGCCATTGCAGTTCGCTGTGCATAGCCTAATCGCTTGCCGTGAAAAAGCAGCAAGCCCAATATGAGCAGCTAGCTGTTCAGGCTGGCTTATAAGGATGGGCCTTCTGCTCTTCTCCGTTCTACCTGCTGTGTCTGTCCCCCTCCCCCCAATTCCCAGATGCAAACACCTGCCATGTTTATGAGCAATATGGAAATATTTGTCTAGTGAAGGAAATCCTCCCCTCCCAGGAGTGTTCCACACTGCTGCTTCCATCAGGCAGCTGATGCCTGAGGCAATAAGAATGTCCTCATAGATATCTGAACAGTTTTTCACTCTGCTTTTCGTACTCTTCTCTCCACCCACTTCCGTGTCCCTCTCTCTCTCTCTCTCCTCTTCTCTTTCATTCCCCCTGCCAAGGATGACGAGTGCTGACGCATTGGGGTAAGCTCCAGTTTTGGATTATACCTGTTGTGGGAACTTTCCTCATTTTGGGGGGAGAGACGTTTTTTTAAATGATCACCAATGAAACGATCCTTATGATGACATGACACGTTGTTATGAAAAAGAGAGTCTTTGGGAAGTACAACTCTCCCCATACCTCTCTGCGTGTGATTGCTTAGTTTTCCCTGCATCTTACAGAATAAACAAACTTAGCCCACCACTCTAGCCTCTATTTCACATTCCACCTTTTTTCGAGAAAAATGGAAGGTATGCACAGGCTAAACATGTACATGATGCAGGTACATACTACTGGCCATAACTCCCTGCCATGTGTACACGGTTTGGCCAACGAAAACCATTTTAGAGCCTGGGAGAGCTGCGGTTTGTGTTTCTCATCATCGTGGTCGGCAGAATTCCTTACCTTCTACTCACCATCAGTCCACGCAGTGAGTAAGCACTGATCCAGGATCATTGTGGCATCTGACATCTCTGACTCAATCGACTGCATGTGGGTTATTCTAGCGCTGCAGGTGCTTTTTCTGTGGACTCCTCCAGTACTTCATAGTGAGCTAGAGTTCTGAATCTGCAGACACTGTGACACCAAGGGATTGAAATGCTTCCACATTCCAGTGTATATATCCTTTCTGGGACGGTATATGCATGTGACTGCACAGGTGCAAATTCACAGGCTTGTTTTCCATTAGGTTAGTCAAGAATAGAAGAGGGCGAACTCTAAAAATTTAATTGTACAAAATATACATACATTTATTCAGCACAACTTAAAATGACAAATAAGGGCCCATTCATACCTCATATACACATGTAAAAACATACAAAGGCTGATGAAATAGACCTAACGCGTTTCGGCCTTCACAGGCCTTCCTCCGAGGTCCAATGCCAATATGTTGGCTAATATGTAAAAATATATACAATCATACATATATAAAATATGAAGTAAAGACCAGAAAACAATTGTTCCAAAGTTTAATCACTGGGTAAAGAAGAGAAATGCAGAAATACAAATAAGACCTCCAGTGTAATCACATGTCCAGTAGTACTTCTCTCTGGTCAACTTAGGAGAATATATAGTTTACCAGAGAGAAGTACTACTGGACATGTGATTACACTGGAGGTCTTATTGTGAAGGCCGAAAGGCGTTAGGTCTATTTCATCAGCCTTTGTATGTT